TCAAGTCATTTCCGATTTATGGCAACCCTAAGGCAAACCTATCATGGGATTTTCCTGGCAAGATTTGTTCAAAGGAAGTTTGCCCTTGCCCTCCTCTGAGGCTGAGAGTATGTGACTTGCCCAAGGCCACCCAGTTGGTTTCATGGCCAAGCGGGGAATTGAACCCTGGTATCCAGAGTTGCAGTCCAACACTCAGACCACTACACCACACTTAGCTACCTAAGAAATCAAGGGGGAAATTATGCAAAATATCAGAAGGCAAAGTGGGATAAAGTAGAAAAGAATATCCCAAATTATCACTTATATCAGAGTACATTTTTAAAATGGGAAAAATACCTGGAATATTTTATCTGGAATAATTTAATAATGTCTTTAATGAAAATTTCAACTAAATTACTGAGTCCATGGTATATTATTTTCTTAAGATTATCTAACATTAATCAGAAATGTGAGGCAGGAAGAGCATATATGATATGTTGGTGGTGATATGTTCTAAATAAAAGTTTTGACAGATATATATTTCAGTAATAATATTTTGCAATATAAGTATGCTTATAAAAGCCAGAATCCATCAGTAGAGTTCCCAAACCAGATCTGGTGGGCTGGAAAACATGATGGAACTGTTTGTTTTTTGAATGGCATGGATGATGGCATGAGGACAGGGAAGAAACTGACATTGCCCTTACAGAGATCCAGTAGCATAATGGTAGATGTAGGTATATCTGACTAAAATAAAGAAAAGTCATTCTTTTATGAGATATTAGCAGCATATCTTTTTGCAAAATACTGGGAAAGAAAAAGAATGGTGGCATGTTTGCTGCCTGCGAATGGGTGAGGGATGTGGACTTCAAGTCTGTGAAAATGGGATGGGGACTGTAAATTGTTATACTTTTATCCAAGTTCTGTACAGTTCTTAATGGGATGGGGACTGTAAATTGAAGCTGGAGCAAGCTTATTTTCTGCTGCTCTAGAGAACAGGACACGGAATAATGGATGCAAGCTACAGGAAAAGCGATTCCACCTAAACATTAGGAGGAATTTACTAACAGTAAGCTATTTGGCAGTGGAAAAGACTCCCTCAGAGAGTGGTGGAGTGTCCTACTTTGAAGGTTTTTTAAACAGAGGCTGTCGGGGTGCTTTGACTGTGAGTTCCTGCATGGCAGGGGGTGGATTGGATGGCCCTTGGAGTTTCTTCCAATTCTATGATTCTATGACCACTGAGTTAAAAGAGTGGCATAACTATATGGGTACTTTGAATAAAACAGGGACATTAGAAATTCGGTCTGAACACAAATGAGAGCCATTCCGAATTTTTGGAATGTGATAAGCCATTCCTT